ATTATATCCCTCCTTACCTTTTTTAAATATGTCTAATATATTTTGAAGTAGTTTATTGGTAAAATTCAATCCCTATAACTAGTAATATTTGGAATATGTGTAAGGTATAATCCATAAAAACCTCAAACGTAACAAAGGATTCGAGTCCTTAGCAGTTGTTTTGGAAACAGCAATCGCTTTTCAATTTGGCCATTCAAGCTGAAAATGGAGTACCAATTTCGATATGTTGAAAGCACTCACTGCTAGTTGAAATGTTTCTCCAATTTTGCTTAACATCAAGGACTACGAAAATCACATAATTCCACCTATACGAGACGTAAAATTCATACAAATAAGTGGTTTGTTGAAAATACTCTGCTCGTGTATTGACTAAATTGGTACTTTAGGTAATCAGATTGTAAGGAAACTCTGCAGATAAAGAAGTAGTGAAGTATGTATTGAGAGAAAAAAAAAAGAAGATTTGAAAATAATTTAAGTTGAAAGCTATATTAAGCAACTGCTAAATGTACAAGGAATAATTCTATAAATACAAAAAATTTAAACAAAAATAAATAAAAATTAATATAAAATAATTATTTTTACAAATAATGTGATTACTATACTTGTATTATCTTAAAAGCAAGAACATCAATTTGCTTTAAGTCTCTATTAAGTCTCTGTTAAACTTAATATAGTCAACTTTTAGATACTACGAAGGTTTTAACACCGTTCATGGAAGTAGTTTCACTACAAATAAATTAAATGTATCAAATGCACAAATTATCATCTGATACGAAAGTAAATATTTGTATATATAATACATATATTATATAAATTAAATTTGATTTAAGCGTCACTTAGGATGGCAGTGATTATTTTACTTAAAATATAAAATATAGAAAATTTTGAACCGTACTGAATTGCAACAACAAAAATTTTTATTTAATGTTAATTTATTTTTGTCGAAAGTGACACATCTTATGACGAAAAGAAACTATTTAAAACTTAGAAGGGTTCGAATAGAAATAAAAAGACATTAACAAAATATTAGTTAATTTAATGAATTTTGGCTGGCCATACAATCCTGTTTCAAGTATTGCCAAGTACTCACCATCAGTGGTCTTAGGAAAGATTCGAATTTTTTAATTAAAGTATAGTTCGGTATATAATTTTTTTGGACTGCAAGTGCCAGGCTTATTTTTATTTATTTTTAATTAATTGAATTTTAAGTTGACCATATAGCTGTTTCAAGTATTGCCCAATAGCCATCTTCAGTAGTCCTTGAATTCTTTCTTATATATAATTATTCATATACTGTAACAAGTTATTTTGTAGACTGCAAGTATTTAACTCGTACCGCACCAAATTTGAAGCTCAGACTCTGTGTTTATTAGCAAACTGACCGAAATCCATACTTGACTTGTATGTCAGAACTTAGAGTTTTGATCATATACTGTGAAAGTTCATTAACATATTTACTTTCTCAGCCAAAAAT